TTTTCGCATTTATATTCATATACATTGTGCTAATTTTTTAATTAACGATTTGATTAAATTGTACTAAAATGGAAACAGTGATTGTTGATTCAAACAGAGCTATGGTGGGAACAAGTGCGGTAATCGAATCGATGAGTTCTGCTGTTAACGGAAAGGAGGTGGCGGACGTTCGATTTGATCCGACGGCTGTGGTACCGGAGCTGGTGCCGGCAGTGGTGAAATCAGAAGGTGTAGATGCGGCGGTTAATGGCGGCGGCGAGGAGCAGGAGAGGGAGATTGTGTTAGGGCGGAATATACATACGTCGTCCTTTTCTGTTACGGAACCTGATGCGGATGATGATTCTACTGGTGATAAGGAAGCGTATATGGCTAGTGTTCTGGCTCGGTATAGGAAGACTCTCACTGATCGAACTAAGTATCATTTAGGTATTGTGTTCGTTTTGATTTTGAATTGTTACACTTGATTCTGTTTATTCGTTTTAATTTTGAATTATTACACTTGATTCTGTTTATATTTGGTTACTCTATAGATAGAATCGTATATTTGTTTAGGTTGGCTTAGATTACCTTTTTGACAGAAGTTGTTACTGATGGCTAAGTTTGGCTCTTCAAATAAGTGTTATACATATCTATTGTGGGTTAAATCCTCCTTAAAACTAGAAAGACTAGGATATCAGCTCCAGTGTAGATTTTAGGCTGAATACATAAACAAACACCTAACTAGTTAAAACTCTCCATCTAGACACCTTAACTCAGCTCATGACCTGCTCAAACTGTATCAATTATACAGAGTGTTGACATGACAAAATGGGTGAGTTTCACCTATCTTGAGATCACATGTCAAAATTGAGTTAACATTGATTTTAAAACTAATAAAATGCATTCCTCTTCTATATATACTTCTCCAATTCATTTCTCCCCCTCAAAGTCTACCATTTTTTAAAATACTTGGACACCAAAAGCTCCAAGAACACTCAGAAACCAAAATCAATAACAACAAAAGAAATTAGTGATCATATTTGGTTCATGAATATCCACAAGGTAAAAATGACCTACCAAACGGGATGGCAAAGTATTATGGCTCTGGAAACTTTGTGGGCTATATTGGTGCAACCCAAAATGTACAAACAAATAGGTTGCTCTGCCATTTTCTGCTGGTAGCACAGGGTTAGAGAAGCTGTTGAAAGTGAACTAGAACATAGGAAAGTAGTCTCTATTACTTTATAACACTTGGTGAGATTTGGACATAAAAGGTCTCTATATGATGGAAGGAACTAGAATTGCAGACCAACTCATCTTGCTATCTCTAGAAATATACAAAGTTGTCCTAAAAGGTTAAGCTAATGCTAATCTAGAAGTTACTGATCTCATATGGTCGAAGTGTCTTTAAGTCGGTGGTGATCCTTCTCCAGCTGGAAGTGGAAGTAAACAAGACAAAAAAGGAAGAGGGGAGGAAGCAGAAGGATTAGTTTTTTAGCTTTTGAGTGTAGCTGGGTTTGATTGGAAAGAGATGAGGACTAAATGTTTGTGGGTCTGGTCTCATTGTTGGTTTTGGGAAGAAGAAGAAGAAAACTTTTTTGTGTTGCTCAATATTTTTGGAAGCTACTAAATCCATGTGTCTTTCTTGCATTGTTTTTTCCCAAGTCACCCACACATGAAATACACATTTCTCATTTTTTGACAGTCTCAATGCCTCGTGTGTGATGAGTATAGTTCTCGAGTAGCCTAGTTTTCCGTTAGGAGGTACCTTCCCTAGTTTAGGTGTCCAAATGAAATAATAGGGCAAGATAGGGGCAGCTTATGCATTTGGCATAGATTTTACTACTATTTTCCTTTTTGGGCTTCTTGTTGGTTTCAGATTTTGATAATTTATTTATTCATCGGGCTTAAAAGTAGCAGTTGTATGAAATATTGTGTGAAAGTAGCGAACTTGTTACTTCTACCAAAAAGTGTGTGTTTTGGTGTGTGTATCATATCTGATGATATTGATGTAACCTGAGAGGATGAAATCACTGGGTGGCTATTTAATATGAAGTGTTTCTCATAATCTTCACCTAAGTTTGATATAGTTTTCCCCCACCTCCTTTTGATGGGGCAACATAACTTGGAATGGCTTTTGTCTTTCTTTTTTAACAGCTATATGGATTGTCTTATTTGCTAATGATTAAAGTTTTGATTTTTGTGTTGACTTTAGCGTTAAAAAGTTCTCTCTAAAATTATAATTATTCGGATCCTTGTATTAAAAAAGTCTGTCTATATTAGAACCTTAGATATTGATTGCCTTTGTACTATCTTAGTAATGTTAATACTAATATTTTGTGCGATGAATATGTTGAAATTAGCCAACTTTATGTCCAGTGGGTGGATGAACTAGTCTAGTTTACCATATTCTCTACTTCTTTCATTGCATTCCAAGTATAAAGAAATACTTATTATTTATGATTGCTGATTGTCACAGGGTATCCATATAATTTGGATTTCGATTATGGTGCACTCACACAATTGCAGCATTTCTCCATCAATAACTTAGGAGATCCATTCATTGAGAGCAACTATGGTGTGCACTCAAGGCAGTTTGAAGTTGGTGTTTTGGACTGGTTTGCGCGCCTATGGGATATTGAAAAGGATGAATATTGGGGATACATCACAAACTGTGGAACCGAGGGAAATCTTCATGGAATCCTTGTTGGGTTAGTATATTTTTTAATTTATTCCTTCAGAATTTTAGGTTTGCTGATTAAGAAATGGTTACCCTCGATTTCCTCTTTTTTACTAATCCTACGGAAAACACGATCTTAATAATGCAGGAGAGAAGTATTTCCTGAAGGAATTTTGTATGCTTCAAAGGAGTCTCATTATTCTATTTTTAAAGCAGCACGAATGTATAGGATGGAATGTGAAAAGGTTGGCACTCTACTAACTGGTGAAATAGATTGTGCAGACTTCAAAGTTAAGCTACTAGCCAACAAGGATAAGCCTGCAATCATTAATGTCAACATTGGTACTGTCTGACTCTTTCACTGTCTGAGATATTTCCCTAAATGCAACAACCAATTAGTTGCCTAAGGTGCCATCTTTTTTTGGTTGACAGGAACTACTGTGAAAGGAGCTGTTGATGATCTTGATCTTGTCATAAAAACCCTTGAAGACTGCGGATTTTCACATGATCGGTTTTATATCCACTGTGATGGGGCTCTCTTTGGGCTTATGATGCCATTTGTCAAGCGCGTAAGTAGATTTGTTTCTCCAAACTGTTTTTATTGTTCGACTTCTCCTTGCATTTCTTAAACTAGCCACTCTGAAGTGCATGTAAAAATACTTGGCTATTATTAGCAAAGCAGGTTATTTGAGGTACTCTTATGAAATCAAAAATGTGAAAATAGTTTGCAGCCTTGTTAGGTATTTGATGCCACTACTAATGTTGCGGAAGGTTATAATGTAAAATTGTTTTCTGTTCTCTGTAACCATTGCTTTTGGAAGTAAGGGAGGAAAGATGAAGAAGAACGCAGAATTCATTTCTTTTGGTTGATTAGGAGTACTAAAAGATAAACTGATCTTCTTTTCATATGTGTTCCTTGTGTGGATATACTTTCTTCACAGTACAAGCAAATCAGAGATAGGAAGAAAGGAGATTTTGTATACAGATCTACTGTCCTGTTGGCAGTGTTTATGTTTCTTATTCTTTTGATAAATAAATGAATGCTCTCATGCGGGTACTTCTTCACAGTAAAAAACTAAAAAGAGATTCTGTAAGCAGAGACCATCCACTGCCGCAGCTTTTCTGTAACATAGATTTGTCTATTATCTTTCATTTCTCCTACTTACTACTATTTTATGGAACAAGATGTTATTGTTGTCTCAGATTTTCCTATAAGTAATATCTTAAATTCTTACAGACACCAAAGGTTACTTTCAATAAGCCAATCGGTAGTGTGAGTGTCTCTGGTCACAAGTTTGTGGGATGTCCAATGCCATGCGGTGTTCAACTAACAAGGCTAGAGCACATTAATGCCCTTTCTAGTAATGTGGAGTACCTTGCATCAAGGGATGCCACTATCATGGGAAGTCGGAACGGGCATGCTCCACTTTTCCTTTGGTACACTCTGAACAGAAAAGGGTACAAGGGATTCCAGAAAGAAGTCCAGAAGTGCCTAAGGAATGCTCATTATTTGAAAGACCGCCTTATAGGAGCTGGAATCAGTGCTATGCTGAATGAGCTGAGCAGCACAGTTGTTTTTGAGCGACCTAAAGATGAGGAGTTTGTTCGCAAGTGGCAACTTGCTTGTGAAAGAAATATGGCACATGTTGTCGTGATGCCTAGTGTGACAGTTGATAAGCTGGATAACTTCTTGGACGAATTAGTTGAAGCACGATCAATCTGGTACAAGGATGAGGATGTCAAACCTCCTTGTCTCGCTTCAGATATTGGGAGTAAAAACTGTTGCTGCCCTCATCACAGAGTGATCTCTTAGATAGAGAAGAGAAAGCTATAGGTTTCCTGTTGTTTCTGTAGGAAACATTAGAGGCATCGTAGAAATGATGTTTGTATTAGAGAAGCTATAATTGGTTTCTCTTTGTTTCTGTATGAAACATTAGATTCATTGTAGAAGTGATGTTTGAATTGTGAGTTTGAATCTCGTAGAAGCATATCATTGTGGCCCTTATGCTTCTGCATCAGTGTGTTTTCCATAAGGAAGAATTTGCCAAAAATACGTGGCAACTTTGTGAATTTTTTTGTGTTCCTCTCCACTTGTTCGGTTATGACTGCAATATTTGTTCAGCAAGTACTTGCTTTGAACGTAAAGATATATATCACTTTGTTAGAGACTGCAAATATTAATCATCATCGAAGAGTTCCATACTTAATATTTCAATTCAACACTGGATCTTTAGAAACAACTTCAACACCATGGTTACTTTTCCTTATTTGTGCTATTACATTCTCCTATAAATCTGAAAATGCTTTAGTTCTTTTTCTAATACAATGTAAAAGACATTATCTAAAGTGTCTCAACCATGACAGGATACTTGTTCTTCAGCATCCTAACAAGTGTTGGCTGGACGGAGTCATCTGTGTCTAATGGTGTCCATCTACAAGGAAAACAAATTTTCAAGTCAGTAATGCAACTGCCCACAGGAAATTAGATTATTTTATTTTTTCAAAAAGACAGTTTCTTGTTTATTTTCCTTACTTGTATCTGCAGACAAGATGATGAAGAAAGACAGAAATTTCCAGTTTGGCTAAGTTGATTCCAGGACACATGCGTGGTCCGCTTCCAAATCCAAGGAAGCTGAAAGGTTTTAGAGGATCCTGTACAGAATCCAACAATTTTCTTTGTTATGAAAATCTCAGGGGAGTTGAATAGAAGGAGCCTGCTTATGTATGTTGGAAAACTTACATCAAATCTTGAAGGATCAAACTTTTCCGGATTAGGAAATATTTTGGGGTCGCGATGAATAGACACTACATCCAAGTTAAGTGACCATCCCTTCTTGATTTTGCACCCTGAACATGGTTTTAAAGAATCATTTTAGATCATACAAAATCTAGATATCGAGAAATCTGACTGTTACCCTCAATCTCAAAATCTTGTGCTGCTTTTCTTGAAAACCACGGAAGGATTGTGGCCATTCGAAGTGTTTCACTGATTACCTGAACATTGAAATATCAACAAAAAATTGGTTATTTTTGAATTTCAGAGCTGGATTTATGACTAGTATGCAAACTCACTTTGGCGGTGTAAGGCATATTGTTGACTTCAGACCAGGTGAGATCTAATGTGCCTTGTTTTCGAGCTTGGATTTCTCTATGCTCCTCCTGTAAATAAAAGATTCTAAAGTTATAAACTAATGTCATCAGTTAAAGGTTGCTCCTTTTCTCCGTTAGGTTCGAATAAGAATTACTCTTAGTCGTTCCAATACAGCAGGATTTTCTTGAAGAAATTTGAGGAGCCATGTTAAAGCAGCAGTTGTAGTATCGTGGCCTGCAACTAGAAGCGTCAATATGTTATCCTTAAGTTGTTTATCTGTGAGTTTGTCATCATCATCTCCTTCTGGTGCATCTTTGCCATGCTTCTTCACCAGGGATTGCAAGAAATCTTGTTTTATGGTTTCCCCACTCCTCCGTTGGTCAATTATCGAGTCTAACATAACATACATTCGATCACGAGCCTGTAGTTTACAGATAGTCATCTCTTTTAAGCTGTCCATTCATCATATTTTGCATAGAATATCGACAATTTGTTACCTGAATGCCACGATAAAAGGCAGTTCCCGGGACTTTAAAGGGTAAAGAAGCAAAAGAGCCAGAAATAATCTTGAAATTGGTTCGAAATTTCTCTTGCTCCTCACCAGTTGGCTCTAAACTCATTATCATGTTGCCTATCACCTTCAGTGTAAACTGCAAAAAAACATAATCTGAAAGGTTAAAAAATGCCTCCGATAGACCAAACTCTATGAAAAATGATCAAAAAGACTCAACTGTGGAAGTTTCTTCAAGAACCAAAATTTTTCTTCCAGACCACTGATCCAATGTTTCAATAGCTAAACTGTTGATAAACTGAAAATACTTCTTTAAACCATCAACAGAAAGTGGTTCAGCAATTAGTCTTCGGAGTCTCTTGTGCGCCTCTCCTGTCTGTTGGAGCAAGCTTGTAGGTCCAAGTACTTGCTGTCCTGTGTAGAAAAGGTTTAAGCTCACTATCCCATCTTTACCTGTCAACAAGATCTTGCTTGCTTCTCTTCCGGTCATGAATACCGTATACCTTCCCAATACATAACTCTTAAACACCTTCCCATACCTAATAAGCAAAACCATAACACAAATCATAAAATTGAGGTCAGAATTTAGATGACAGAGAATTTTCTTCGCAAAGTGATGTAAAGATAGCGTGTTGAACAGTTTTCTGAAGGGAATGACAATGTTAGATCAATCTCAAAAGCTTATATATAGCAAGCATTATCTTGCTGAACCACTTTATAACCTCTCTAAAACATAGCACATATTCAGGATTGCCCCTGGAGAAAAAATTGAACAATTTTCGACGTGCTATATTATGATATACTCACAGTTGCTGTCTCTTATTGATGAAGCTGTATATACCAGCAGGGCTCGAAAATTCGGATATGAAAGAGAGACTTTCTCCAATAATAGGCCATCCTAAGGTACCTGGAATTGCTTCCATTTCTTTTGGAGAAGCCTTATTTGTTCTTAATAGAACTAGTAAAACTACTAAAACCAACACTAACAACATTACAATAAACATGATTAACTCCATTCTTGATTGTGTTAAATCTGCAAAATTTGATGAGTTTATATGTGATATTCTACTGATGATCTCAAGAATGTTCTGTGAACAGCTTAATATTAAAAATAATTCCTTGTTTGTTGTTGATTAATTTGTACAAGATGAATGGGATAAGACAAATTGACCCCATTGAATATAATACTCCCTCCGTCCAAATTTATGTGAAATTCTTTTCTTTTCCTCGTTAGTCCGTCTCAAAAGAATAACTCTTTTCTATATTTAGTAAGCTTCTCATTTAAAACCACAAGTATTTGTGTATAATCTATTCAAACACTATGGGAGTGGGGTAGGGTGGAGTGTATTGGAGGACGGAGAGGAGACAATAAGCGTGGAATGGTACTTATGAAATTTGTTTTTCCTATTTCCACAACTCCATTAGGAAGTTATTTTTTTCATTTTAAGGAACTTATTTTTCTAAAAAACATATTTTCCAAAAATTTTAACCAACCAAACGCGGAAAAATTGGTTTCACCATTCTATCTAATTTTCTGCAATGCTACCTACATCTGGACAAGACAATTTCACTTTCCTATTGGAATTAAGCCAAGTTTAGCTTAGTTTGTGTCAACATTCTTGTCTAATCACAGCTGCTTGCCATGTGGATGTGGGGTGTTATTAATTAATCGTTAATTAACTCGGCTGATTCGTAGATTTTAAAAATTTTCTGTTAGTCTAAGGCCATTTATTGTTTTTTATTTTGGAACTAAACTATATGCCAAAGTTTAACTTGGTGTAAACATTTCTTGTCATGACAATTGACAGGCTACTTAACATTTGGAAGTGATTAATTAATTAATCTTTGAATCATTGCAACAATGGATTTTTTGGCGTTGAAATCATGGCTATTAATGCCTATGAATATATGGCATCTTCTTCCTAAAAATGTCAAAATAGTTTCATATCTATTTCACATTGTAGATTTGAATTTTTTTTTCTCAGTTATCTACATGGGTGTGGTGTTCATTTTGGGATTCAACTAACCTGAATTCACGCGCTTCCCATCAAGACCTTTTCATTCGTAAGATGCAAATTGAGACCTTTAATTAAGAATGAAGAGTCCATATCTCACCTCAACCGTTGATGATAGATTCAACTTTTAACTTCTTGTTTCATACTCAAGTTCTTCTCTTGTTTCTTGTTATGTGGTTTTAGATGTTAGTGGATGACTCTATTATGTAAATATCCTATAAAATTGACATCCTTCCCAAACCACAAACAACAAGAGATATAACAAACTTGTTGACCGTCCAACTGCCACAAATACAAGGGAGCGGACCCATAGAGGTAATCCCTAGAGTTTTTTTTTTTTTTTCATTTCGAATAGAGACTCCATCTAGCTAGTGTGCTCCTTAGCTGAATGCACAATTTAGCAACTACAGACTAAGACGCTTCAGAAGAGAAGCTACATTCATCCCGAGTTTTACTGTGAATTGTGACCATACTTCAGACGAGTTAGATCACGCATCTCTACTCTAAATCTAATCATGTTCAATAGAAATCATTTAAGAATCCAATCTATCAACTACTATGAGGCTTTGTCAGGTAATGAATCCACCATATATAAATCCAATTGTGGAAATAAATGCAAATTTTATTTCCATAATCTAAGATAAAGTATTCAAGAACAATAGAAGAATCTTTTCAAATTTCATCAGCAAAGTATTATTTTCAAACTCTATAGTAAAATACATAAAAGATGTTGAACAATATCTAACTGATGTTTATAAAACAAGTACAAGTATATCCCATGTAACTAGTATTTTGATAATGGTACAAAGTGATCTGATCAGTATACACTCCACAGCCTGTAACACTATTCATTACATATCATTATCAATATATACAAGGCTCTATGCTAATTACTCATTAGTGACATGTTGCCTTTCTTTGACATTTTCAACCCCTGTTATTGAAGTTCATGAAGCTAGGTTGGGTCTGCCCACCGATATTTTGGGTACTTGTCGTAGACTGAGGCATGTGAGGCTGCTGTTGTTGAGTATGGTGATTACCACATTGGACAAATGACTGCGGTTGGGGAGGGAAATGTGGACGCGCCCCCCTGCTTCCATTTGCAGCTGACATTTGACCAGCTGTTATCTTTAGATGCTGCAGTTCTTCTCGTAAAGCTTCATTCAGAGCTGGAAATTATTCACACACATATGTCAATACAATAAATAGCAGTGAAAATTATACTACTTATTAAGTTATTATAAGACATACCGTCTCTAAGATGGGCTTCTTGTTCCAAAGCTTGCAGCCGTAGTTTGAGTTCTTTGTTCTCAGTAGTCAATCCACTATTGTCTCTCTGCATCATCATACAGAAATGGCATGTAAATGATTAAGGATATGTTAATTGTTATTGTGGTTCTTGACAACGGTGTTAGCAATAGCATAATTTGCAGTGGTAATATTCCATCCAGCACCACATAAATACAATACAGTTGATATATGTCTACAGAAATGTCCATAACTTGAAACTGTGATTTTGCACGTACAGCATATATGATTCATGAATAAATGGATCGTCCTAATGTATGTTACCCACCAAAATTAATGAGAATAAGGGCAAAAAGTTCACTGTCGACCAAAGTAATTTTTTAAAAAAAGGAAAACAAAAAAGGCAAGGAGCATCATGGAAAAACAAGAATGGCAGACCTCCACACAAGCACATATGCATGATTTTGTGGCAGTCAGATCCATACTCAACGATGACAAAAAGAGCGAAGAAGTAGCATAAAGGTGACTTTTCAACCAAAAGTTGAAGGTAAAAAAAAAGAATTTACAACCAGGGCAACCAAAATAATGTAGATTCTACAAAAAAAACTTATTGCTAGCTAGCAAGATACCATACTCGGATATTTAAAATGATGCTAGAAAACAAGATAAGAATAAGAACCTGTTAATTGATGATGACTATTCCTCCATAAAAAGAAAGTTCATTATTTAGCATCAAAGAGAAGTGCAGCAGCTTGAAAAGCCTAATTGCCTGACCAGCTAGAGGGTGGAAAAGAGAAGGGTTGACTGAAAATTTTCCTGTATCCTAAGAAAAGTTATGCTTTCCATAATTAGCACCAAAGAAAATGCAACAGCTTAGAAAAGCCTACTTTCCTGTATTTTCCTCCCCTCCATCTTGCTAATGCTCGCACAACTTCCCTTTCCCTGATTCTATGCATTCAAACCTTCACGGGATCACACTATCTCACTTTTTCCAATATTCACCTCCCAACCACTAGCTCCCTCCTCCAGTGCCAGCAACAGCACCCTCCATATGTAACTAGCAATGGCACCATCTCTCTCTTCTCCAGTTCCCCATTACCATTTCTATGCCTAAGCATTCCACATTACTTGCAAAAGAGGGCAGGAACATGGAACATGGTGCTCACTCAATCAAACAGAATCCTAAATAAAAATAAAAATAATGTGAAGAAAATGAAAAGATTTCTGTCAATGTAGTCATAATAGTTTAGTGGTAGATGGGTACAAGTTACCCCAATAACAGCCCTACTTCTAACTTCTTTGATGACAAAAGGGTTAATTTTCTGCAAGCAGGAAATAACGAAACCTCGGTTACTGAAAGCCAAAGGTCACTTTCACTGTTTTAGTAATAACCATCCCGGCTGCATTGAATATTTTGATCATCCGCCAACATTTCTTTCAAAGTCACTTTGTTATTGATCGCACATTTCTTTCCTAAGTTTGAAGTTCTTCACCAAATTGGTCAGCCAAATTTTGCCCCTTTTACTTCTTAGCTCGCCAACTGTAGGATTCTTGATTCTTCATCATGGTCTTCTCATTAGTAACATGAACGATCAATTGCTTGACCAGTATATTAGTACTTAAATGTATTTTCCTTCATCTAACCACATGTTGAAAACCATTTAAAGATCAACACAAATGCACTCCTTCCCAATCATCGGGACTCCTCCCCCTTCCCTAGCTACCCTCTTTGCTAATATTAGCAACCCTGATCCTCCTCCTGAAGGCAAACCTCCTTCACCTTCATAATGCTAATCCCCTCTCCTCCTCATGCACCACTAACACCCTCACCCATTGCCAGCACCGGCGCTCCTCAAGTCCTACAAAACCCTTCTCTAGCTTTGTGATGCCCCCCTCCTTCTTTGCTGCAGCACCCCCTAGACTGCTCTTCATCAATTCTCCAATTTCTCAACCTCAATGATAATCCTTCACAAAAGCTACTTTCTCATCCCCATAAAGCCATAATTTGAGTAAAAGACAAGATCATAAACATAGCACTTATTCAATTTTTTAATCTACTTTTCCTGATAGGCACTTACTCAGCTGAAAGACAACCCTAAAAAAAGAGAAAAACAAAGATTTATTTCTGTTGATGCTATGATTGTAATTTAGTGCTAGTCGAGTAGTGGGGTGTTTTTATCCAAAAGAGCACTTAACTTTCAAGCTTCTTCGATGACAAAGTTCAGTTTTACTTTAAGAGGGAAGTAATCTATTTCGATTTCCGAAAGCTAAACATTTACTGATTCAAACATAACCATCCAGGTAACATTGGATCAACTACACATAAAGTCAACTAAGATCGCAGCTCAAGTTACCAAAACTGTTGCCAACTTGTTTAATCACATGCTGCGATCAGTTTACAAACTATGCTTGGATCTTATTTTAAAAGCTCCCAAAAAATAACCTAAAGATATGATCTTA